GATAAATGTATAAAGGAGCTGGTACATATACACAATGGAATATCACTGAGCCATAAAAAATAATGAAATCTTGCTATCTGCAACACCATGAATGGACCTAGAGGGTACTGTGCTGAGTGGAGTAAGAGAAAGATAAATGCCATATGATCTCACTTACATATGGAATTTAAAGAACAAAATAGCCTGATCTCATCTGATCTTGGAAGCTAAGCAGAGGCGGGCCTGATTAGTACTTGGATGGGAGACCACCTAAGGAAGACCAGGTGCTATAGGCGTAAAAAAATGATAAAATAAAATAAAATAAAGAACAAAATAAACAAAACAGAAACAAACTCATAGATACAGAGGACATTTTGCTGATTGCCAAATGGGAGCTGGGTTGGGTTGGTGAAAAAGGCAAAGGGAATAAGAAGTACAAATTGGTAGTTACAAAATAGTTATGGGGATGTAAAGTATAGCGAAAGGAGTATAGTCAGTAATATTGTAATAACTATATATGGTGTCAGATGTGTACTAGATTTATCAGGCTGATCACTTTATAAGATATATAACTGTCTAATCACTATGTGTACACCTGCAACTGATATAGTATGCCAACTGTAATTAAAAAATTATTAAAATCCAAAATAAATTTTTTTTAAAAACCATGTAATAGATTCTCTTTTTCAGGGCTATCATCCTTTAGTCAATAATTTGATTAACTTTTTGAGAATAAATATTTTTTCTTTGTATATTTTTACTGTTAAAGTAGATGGTCCATGATAATTTTATTAAAGATTTCATAAGAAAAAAGTTATTAAAATCCTAAAAAAAAATCAGGAAACCAACTAGTTTCCAATGATAGGAGTAAAAAGGAAATAATTTATTATGTAGTCATTTATAGAATTTTTATAAGAAACATGACCCATGCTTTGTAAAATAAATAGACAAATAAAGCCCCTGTATGCATAGAAATGAATAAAAATAAATACCTCAAAATGCTACCATACGTTATTTTTTGTTGTTATTTTTAAACCTATGGTATTTGTTATTTTTTAATCAGAAAAAGACCATTTTGACTTGCCCTATAGATGAGTATGGAATTTCATACTAGGGACTCTTGACAGTTGTCCTTGTTCATACCAGTTACATGAGTCTCCAGCTGCTTTTCAGGCATTGTTCAGAGCTAATTTTGCCAAGAAAGCAAATGAGGAATAAGTAAAGCAAATCAATAAATTACATGAAGCCCAGAGATTATAAATTTTCTTGTAACCAGTCACTACTCTCGCTTGTCTGGCATCTCAGTCCTTGTGGACCTGCTGTCGTGGCACCATCCTCTGGAGGGACTGACTAGTTTCTTTCACCCATTTGTGCTTCTCTGCTTTGCAGGATACTGAGGTTGTTGTTGAACGGTTGATGTTTGAAAGGACTGTGACATGAATATCATGACCATAGTGCTTTCCACCATCTCAAAGATGGGTCCCATGCTGATCTTTGTGATTTCTGTGTGCAAATTGGCAATAGTCAGGGCGCTTAGGCCTCATAAACTTTGTGCACACAAGCAAACAACATCTGCCTGAGGGCAGAGAGAAATTTTTTTTGTTTTTCTTTGCTTTGGATGTTTTTCGCCATAAATATATTTGGCCAATACAGTTTTCTCAGAAGATAAGATGATGGTATATCTCTTAACATTTGGAGTGAAAAGAAAAATTTAATAACATTGAATATCAAAAGCTTGGAATACTTTCAGTAGTTTCAGTTCCCTGGTCTCCCTGGATAACACTTAAAAAAAATAAAACCAAAACCAAATAGCAGTCATTAATCATTGTGTTTTTCCCTAGCAGGTATAATAACATCTAAGGTAGCAAGTGGAGTCTAGAAAATGTTTTACTTCTCTAAATCTACAAATAGCTAATAAGTCGAAATGCATAAAAATAATAGAGGGATAATCCTATCATTGAAAACTTTGCAACCTTTCCTTGACTTTGTATGGATCGCTAACACCTAATCCGAGCAAAAACAGATCCCTGTTTTCCATTGTGTTGTTCTGTTATTGCAGTCAGTAAATATACCATGGAAATACTTTGGTAAGAGCAGAAAATAGTGGAACAGATTCCAGACATGAAGGGAGTATTGGGGCACCCCTAATTTTCAGAGCAATGCCAGAGCCAGAAAGATATGGGGTAATCTAGGCAGTGGACAGTCCTTTTCTATTTCTATAATGTTCTCAGGCTCTATAAAAACAAAGTGTTGATTTTGGCTAGAGAAACAGAATCTTACTGCTAATGGACTCAGGGAAGGATGGAGTAATGTTAACTTTTTACTCTTTTCCAAGTAGGTCATTCAAATTGTTTGCCTCTTCCTCTCTGTAGTCAGAGTGACAGTTTCCTTGACACCCTGACTCTACCAACATTGTTAATTTCAATATTTTGGTGATTTTTACTTGCCATCATTCTTATCAACAGTTTTCCATGTGCTCTATGCCGTGTGTGTGTGTGTGTGTGTGTGTGTGTGTGTGTGTGTGTGTGATCAAGTAAATTGCTGACCTACACTTTACTCCTTTGAAGTTAGGGTAAGTTGGAGCACAGACACACGGAGCACTTAGCCTCCACCTGCTGGTGCTGGCACCACAGCAGCCATGCTGCCAGGTCTAAATCAGATCCAGCCAATGATGCCTCTTGAAATCATTTGGCAATCAAAGGAAAGGTGATAACATGTAAGGTGATAACATTTTACTATCTTGTGATAGTAAAATCTGATAGTAAAATACAATCAAATTGATAGGTATATAGTGCACTGGAGACAAATCAGGAACTTATTATTAAAATTCTGTGTGTATGGAGAAAGTTAAAAAATTACCTTTGAGGAATACCATCAATGCTTCACAGAAATTCTCTTCTAGAGCTATATCAATTCAGTTGAAAGTAAAATCCAATTATTAATAGTATGTGCTTGGAACATATATGTATGGAAGGATTTATGTATAATCACACTAGAGGAATAGCCTGTCACATAACATAGTGGCTACTTTTTGATCTGTAGCAATTGTATGTGTGTACGTGTATATGTAGTGATTTTCAGTACACTGTTTGATCACAATGTCTGCATGTATATAGAGCCTATCTGGTTTGAAGCTGTTGAAACCAGTTCACTCCATAGATATTATTTTCAAGACAGATGGAAATCATAAATAACTTAGAATTATAACAACACAGCTTGCTTTCTACATTTTAGCCCATATGTCCACTGTGTGTACATTGTCTTTATGTATAGTTTCTGATGTGGAAGAAACTGCTAGGTCCTTAGGATCCTGGAGAAAGCCTGTTAATTTCTCCAACAATAAAGCTACAAACAATTGTTCAGTGTTCTTGGAATTAAGAAACTCTCCTAATTTATATTCTGATTATTACTCTCAACAACAACAATAGCATCCATGAAAAGCTCAATGTTTATTTAAAACAGATGCAATTATGTTAAATTTTTAAATATACTTTTCATTATGGAAATGTTCAGTCATTCACCAAAATATAAATCCCCATGTACCTGTTACCCCACTTCAATAATTATCAACATTTATGATTCACTTCGAATAAGTATTCAGATAAAGGGATTACTTTTCTGAAACCATGTACTTTAATGACAGGGTAGAAAAAAAGAAATAATGCTACTTTATGGCTAGTGACTGCATTTTGAATCATTGCACACTTTGGAGAGCCAGATTCTCATAATAAGAGATTCTCATAAGGGAGAGAAGTAAATTTCTAAGAATATGAGTGATTCTTAGCCATATAACAAATAGTATGGCTTTTAACATTTTTCATCCCCAAAGTAAAATGTTATGATGTAGAAAAATGTATTCTGCAACAGATTATTTTTACTTAGTCTATTACCTGTAAATTTGAGAGGAAATGTTTTTAAAAATGCCTTGCCGTGGCTGCAGGTATGTGGTTCATATTCTCCATCTCCTGTTTCTGATGCTCAGTGTGCAGGCAGGTACTCTCCATCTCCCTTTTCAGTGTTCTGGGTTTGACAGTTAATATGTGCAACATTAGGACTTTCCTGACTTAATAGGACAAACTGAGTAGAATTTATTTGATAAAAGAAAGGAATGTCTAATACTAATCACATCAAATAGCAATTTCAATTTTTGAAATATGTGATATTATATAAGATCAATCCAATACTTTCCTTCTTCAGTCTTTCTGATTTTAATCTCTCAAGCCAGACCTGCCAAGCTCATGCTAAGTCTTATTAAAGACTTGGACTCCATGACTAATTTGTTCAAAACTAAAACTTCTGATTGTACTTTGTTCATTTCATTATCGAAGTTTTAAATACTTCTTAAAGTTCTTTTGACCATGTCTAATCTTAGAAACAAAATTTTCCTTTGTTTTTTCTATTTTATTACTCCCAGTATAGGACCCAAAATATGATTTGATTTCTGATATAATGTATCAAATAAATAATGTCTCATGATAAAATGCCCTATTTTTTTTTTCCATGAATGTAACTTAGCTTCTGGGACCTTCCCCATGAAGATTTTAAAGTTTATACAGAAACACAGTTTTTCTAAATTCTGACTTTGCATGGTGAGGAAGCTTTTCTTATGTAGCTTTCTTCCATGATCCAGACATTGGGGCCAGGCCCCTTCCATTTTGTGATGTAGATGTCTTCTAGGACCTGGTTATCATCTGCTTTCAGGCAACAAAATAGAAATAGCTTGTGGAGGGGACCACCCACACCTTGAAAATCACCTCTCAGGAATGGCATATGTCATTTCCATTCAAGTTCCATTTGCTACACCTAACTGCAAGGAAAGGTAGCATTCTTGGCTGCCCAGGAAGAAGAGCAGTCCGAATTTTGATGAGCAGATGACAGACTGCTGCTGTACCTGAATCCTGGGCCTGGGCTTCACAATCTGATGTGCCTTAGCAGAGGGGAGAGAAGTGAAAGGTCTGAGTCTGACTCTTATTGAGGGCCATGGAGATACAGACATGGACTGTTTGGTTTCTGTTTTACAGATCATACCTAGCACTGATGCTGATGGGATTGTTGGGACCTTATTGTCAGCAGGAGAGGGAACCCCAGTGGAGGAAGGAGAGACAGAGAAGGCAGCTCTTCCTCCTGGGGAAGAAGCAAGCTTGGAGGAGACCAAGATTGATACTGTAACCACAGAAGTCATAGATAGTGACAGATCGCAACCAGAAGAAACTGAAACAGCAGCAATTCAGGTAAGTGTCTTAGTGAAATGGAGGTTCTAGGGAGATGGCACCAATTGGAATGCTCTATTGGTTAATAGTGATAACTCTTTTGTATGCAGAATAGGTTTGTAGACATTTTGTGGCATACTTATCCATAAAAGAAAAAAAATTCTCAGAAAGAGTGGCTGCAGCATTCTTTCAACGTCAGCATTGTGGGGTTCCACACAAGCCCCCAGTGCTACGGCAAACTGGGCTTAAGCATGGATGGAGAGAAAGGAAACTATTGAATAAAGCGATGAGGTATAGGAATAAGCACATGACAAAAAGGATGAGAATAGAGGGAGGAAAAGGGAATATGGTAGAATAATAAGGTTCTGTGGATAAAGTGAGAAAATAGCCATCAAGTGCTTAGCCCAGTGGCAGGCACATGCTGAAAACCCAGTATTGGTAGTTAAATCATATTACTATGATTACTATTTTGTGGTTGTTATTAAAGTGCCCCAAATTCACCCCAAATTAGGCTCCTTTCACCAAAAGCCCATCCCCATTTTCCTTTCAAAAGTAAAATGGGTCATTAATCACATACACAAAGCTGGACTCTCCCCCAGCTCTTCACATCTTCAGAGAAGCGTTTAAAGACAACACATCTATCTATTCCATGACTGTGGGAGCCTCAAACCCAGTTGTGAAAGGAAGGACAGCTCTTCTAACCCTGTGTTTCATTCCTCTGTATTCTAGAAGGTAACAATGAAGAGTGGGCTTAATGTTATGTTTTCCATTTTCTGGTTATTTTATTCATAGTAAATTTCCCAAAATCTCTCCAGGGTTACTCAAAGTTTAAACCTGAATCATCCTACTAGAAAAACAGCAGGTCGTATTGGTATTTAGAGAAAAAACATTCTATTTTTTTGACATTTTCTTGTCACAATGGCAGAAGTATTTTTGTGTCTATTGTTAAACTTGTTGAAAGAATATATTATTTTCTCCAAATTGAAGAATAGAAGTGCTATGTCCCCTGATATCTGAGGAAATAGAGAACTTGTTTGAGAGTTAATAAACATCTCTAGACTTCCATTATGCAAGGGAAATTCCCTTCCTTGCTCATTTTTGTTAAAACATAAAAAGAAGATCTTGATCCTTTGATTCTGCTTTCCCAATCGATAGAGTCCTTGGAGTGGTGGGTGGGAATTCTAATCCCTTAAACTGTGACTGCAGCATAGCTCTGATGATTATCAACAAGTAAAAGACACATAGGTTATCTCCAAACACCTGGCCTCCACATTGTTACCAACAATAGTTTCTGTATTGTTCTGGAGTCCCATGGGACCCTGGGGAAAAGCAATCACAGGAGGTTAAATGTCAGCTTCAAGTGCGTGTTAACATTCAGTGGGACGAGAATTGACCGCTGCAAAACTGATACCACCCTTGGACCACTACTAAAGCATTTCCTTTCAGTTCTGTCTCCCTCTGTGGTGTCATGACTCACCATCCCTCCCTGCAGTCTCCTGTCCATCTTCCAAGTTTACATAGAAACCTCACTCTTACCAAACTGGAGGAATGTTCAAAGATCTAGAAATTAATCCCAATAAGGGTGTTTGTCTCAGGAGAGATAGATAGAAAGGAGGCCACATCAGGACGAAGGCCCTTCAAAGCAGGAGGCCCAAGAGCCAGAAAGCCTGAGCTGGGTTTGCGGAACAGCAGGTATTTTGTTGAATGAGGGAGGTGGGGAACGTGAGAGCCAAGGAGGATGCAACAGGGAGGATGCAGACATCTTGTCTCCCACACACGTACAGCACCACCACATTTTTCTTCCCTCAGGAGAAGGTCATCCCTTATGTTGTCATAGAACCTGCCTCCAACAATGAAGGGGAAGGAGAACACGAAATAACCATAGGTGCAGAGTCCAAGAAGGTGACTGAAGATACAGCTCTTCCGGGCCCCACCAGCGAGACACCAGAACTGGCCACCGAGCAGAAGGCCACTGAGGACTCCCAGCCAGTGCCCTCCGCTCCGTCTGCAGGCGAGGCCTTTCAGGAAGTGCCTCCTGGCTTTCTCTACAAGGTCTTAACATTTTTAATTTTCTAAATCTGGTGGCTATTTGTCCTTCCTTTGCTTCGAGGCCTTTTGGTCAAAACTTGGGTTTTCCAATTTTTACTTTTGCTGTTTGCAATACATATTCTTTCTCTGTACTGTTTTCCCCTCCATCCCAAGATCATATATTAACATGGTAGGATTTCCGTGCTACTGGACAAGGAAGAACTACAGTGATGTCTTTTTATATTTTAGCAAAAGATAATTAAACAATATGCCCCTTGGTAGAGAACGGGTTAATGGCTTCCACCTAGGTGCCCTCTCAATCTCTCCACAGAGCCCTGTGAGTGCTTCCAGCCTCATCTGCATTGGGCTGGATGATATACCTCTGGAGGACAGGAAACTCAAACCATCCACTCAACTCTGGCACCTTGTTACAGTGCATGACACAGAGCAAGGAGCCAATAAATGTTTTAAAAGTGACTAAATATGTTAATGGACTTGTAATAAAAGGAATTAAAAAGAGGCCTAAATTCATGCGCAGAAGGTTTTGCTCAGAGAGACCATGAAGTGGCTACTCAAGCCTTCAGAAATCGAAGAGTCCTAATGAAAATAAATAAAGCAAACAGGCAGGCAAGCAGTAAATAAAAACACAGGCTTAAAGCAAGTGTTAAAGGCAGCTAATCCTCCCTAATAGAATATGGTTGGGAATTTTAAGTTCTATAATTTGATTTTACATTTCAAAATTCAGAACTTGTTCTTTTAAAAAGTGTTAATTTTTTTGTGCATGTGGAGATGGGATTGAATAGTAATAGTCATTCTCTTTTTCATCTTCTCTACTCACTAGAAAGCAGCTGCTACTTTGCTCCCTCAGATGGGGATGGGGTGGATGAATTATGCGGAAGAAAAATCAGGTGGCGAGTGAGGTCATGTGTCCACTGTGTTTTGTTGGAATTAGAGTACAAGAAATGGAGGATGCCATGTGCCACTCAAGGCCAGGTTGGCTGGGCCATTGCTGCCTGCAGTGCACACTGAGGAACACCACCAAACCTCACTCTCCCAGCTTCAGTTTTCTCATCAGAAAAGTGGATTTGGGAATAAAATAGTCATTTCAGTGCTGACATTTACGATTCTGCATGCAGAAAACGCATTTTAAAAGATGATTGATTGTTTACTCTCATGGGTGAGGTTGAGGGGACGGAAATGAGAGAAATAAACCTGGGTATGACTAGATAGTTATTCAAACTGTGTGCTGGAGGTTCATTTTTCTATTGTTTCTATTTTTAAAAAATTTTATAATCAAATTTCAAAGAAATCTTTCAAAAAGAAACAGACCAGCGTGATAAAAAGGTAAGATAGAGAAAGAAGTGTATTTACGAAGAGATTAAACACAGGGTTTAATTAGTGATTCCATTATAATGCACAAGTGTTTTTCAAAATTATTAATTATTTGACAAAAGTTTTGGTTAGAGAAGCATTCTGCTAGGAATTCTTAGTTCAGTTTAGAAAACAAACAATAATAAAGCATAAGTGATAATAAAATGCAAATCTCTAACAAAAATATAACAAATTAAAATTTAATTAACATACGACCTTTCATCTCTAGCAGAAGATATTGCTTTACTAAGTATACAACCAAATGGCTTCAGTATCATTCTGTAGCATCTGTTTTAAGTAAACAGAGTAGGATTTCCTTTTGTCTTCAGAGGCCTTCTCCTCCCTTGGGGTGTGATACATATCTTCATCTTTTTTTAATCCATCTTGGAGATGCTTTTAAGATTGTCTGAGGATCATCTGACTAGGAGACTTTGATTTTACCTCTATTTTTCTTTCTAACTTATCAGTCCTTTTGCAATATTTCACAGGTGGAAGCACTTCATGATTTTGAGGCAGCAAATTCTGATGAACTTACCTTACAAAGGGGCGACGTGGTGTTGGTGATCCCCTCAGATTCAGAAGCTGACCAGGTAAAGGATGAGATTGGAAGGTGCTGCAGTCTGTATTTGCTTTTTCCTGAGGATCGATTGGACACAGTAACTTCCTGAAGACATTTTCATTTTCTGAGATGCTGCAAGGCAGCTTTGAAAAGAGCTTAAGGGATTACAATCACAGCACACCAAGAATTACAGGTTTTTAGGGTACCTCTTTTGGGATGCTGTTAGAGCGTTTATTTTTTATACAAATAGATGACCATTTCTTATTATATATCTACTCTCTAGGTATGTTTTCTCTGAAACACTAGTCTTCAGGAAATGCAGACACTACCCATGTGCACTAAAATTCCCCCTTCAAAAGTAGTTGCCTCTGTAGGTGTGGAGACTGACAAGGAAAGAACATGAGGGAGCATCTGGGAATGGAAATATCTTGATATTTTATATCTTGATAGGGGCATCAGTAACACATGTGTGTGCATTTGTCAAAACTCACTGAACACTATACTTAATCCTTGCATTGCACAGTATTTAAATTGTATCTCAATTTTGAAAGATTCTTTGAAAAAAAAATCACCTATGGGGAAAAAAGTTACCTCTGAGCACAGTGGTCTAATGTTAAGGAACTGAGAACTCCATTTTGCTCTTGTTCATAAGATTTGTGTCCTCTGAAATGTAAATGTGCCTATTAACATGTTTTTCTGGAGAGAAGAGCTATAACTTACATAACATTCTCAAAGAGATTTATGAGCCCTTCCCCCAAGTAATAAAGTCACTACTTTTGAAGTTAAGGCTTACCTGTCCCATGTTTTGTTCTTTCTCTTACCAACATAGATCAGGTGCTGGGTCAAACAAAAGAGTCTCTACCACAATAAAGTTAAATTAGAAATTAATAATAATAATATCTATAAAAGCCCCCAAATATTTAAAAAATTAAAAAATACACTTTTAAATAATCCATTGATCAAAGAAAGCACAGTGTAAGTTAAAAAATATTTCATAGTGATCATTAATTTCTAAGTTTTCAGCCTAAAGATAAAAAGAGATCAAATGAAATGCAAAGTACATAGGTGGAAGGAAATAAAAATGAATCCACAAATAGATGTAATAAAAACACACAGTAGAAAAATTAATAAAGCCAAATGGTAGTTCTTTGAGGAGATTAATAAAATTGTTAAAATCCTTCAAATATACTTTAAGAAAAAAAATTTCAAAGTGGAAATTACCAGTATCAGGCAAAAGTATCTGGTTATCTCAAAAACCCCATTCTCAACTTATAAAATATATGAAAGATATGTTTTAAATATATAAAACATAAAATATAAACTTTCATTTTTATTTTTACATTAACCATAAGTTACCTTTTAAAGAAATTAAGAGGCAAAAGCCTTTACCATTTCCCATAGTGCTGATCTGCCAGCGATAATTCCTCTCAGCTTTTGTTCATCTGAAAATTTTATTCATTTTTATTTTTAAATATATTTTTTCTAGAGAAAGAATTCTGAATTGACTAGTCTTTCAACTCTATAAAAATATTGTTCTGTTGTTTTCTAGTCTCTACTCTTTATATGACACCTAATTTTTAATATAAACATGTATATTTTTTCCTGAACTGATTTTAAGAATTGTGTATTTTTGGTTTTCATCATTTCAACTGTAATGGTTTAGGTCTTGTTTGTTTTTTTTTTTTATATAGTTTTTATGCTCGAGGTTCACTGAGCTTCTTAGACTTGTATCCTGATGTTTTTCACTAAATTTGAAAGAATTTTTGGCTGTTATTTATTAATTTTTTTCTCTTTCCCCTTTTTCTCCCATCTCCAATTATATACTTGTTGGACTTCTTGATGTCTATAACTGTTCTTTTTTTGTTAAATATTTCTCTCTGGTACTCAGATAATTTCTATTGATCTATCTTTAAATATAGTGACCCTCTCTTGTGCTACTTTGAATTTTCTGTTACTCTTATCTTATGACTTTTTCAGTTAGGATATTATTTACACAGTTCTGTAATTTCTATGTTGTTCTTTTATATAGTTTCCATTTCTTTGCTGAAATTTTCCATCTATTCTTATTATTACTATCTTTTAATTAAAATACATGAACATATTTATAACTGCTTTAAATTTCTTACTGCTAATTCCCAAAGCTGGGCCATCTCAGGACACATTTCTATTGATAGCGTTTTACTATTGAATCATATTTTCCTATTTTTTCTCACCTCTAAATTTTTTTTTTAATTGATACTGGACAGAGTAGGTAATCGTAGAATCAGATTTTGTTTTCTATCTCTGAAGATTATTTCTTCTAGTGGGTATTCAAACTACTGGATAATTACCTTAAATTCACGGAAATTTGTTTTATACTTTGTTAGGGTGGGTCTATTTCAATTTGCCTCACTCTTAGATAAATTCGAAGTCCTGGCACATTGTCTCTACCTTTAAGACATGGCTTGTCTGGGCTTTCAATAGAAATTCCAAAAGGTTTATAAAGTCCCCTAACCTTGTGGGACTTTATAAACTCTGTCTCCCCTCCACTGGCAGTTCCTGAATCTCTACCTCCTTTCTCAGCCTTCCTGCTGTTGCTTTCCTCAGGCTCCTTGGGGTGCCCCTTATGCAGTCACAGCTTGGGGGCAGCTCAGGATTTCAGGGAAGCATCTCTGCATATTTGGGGACCTTCTCTGTAGCTCTCTCCTTTTCAAGATGTCCCCCATAAAAATATAGCTGTTCTGGCAGCCCTCAACTCTATCTGAATGCCCCATATCACACAGATGGAGAAGAATCCTCAGGGGGAAAGCTATACCAGCAAAGATCTCACTCAGTACAGTACACTATTTTCAAGAGTTAAATATTCTCCAAACCCTCCCTGCTTGTAGTCACTCTCAGTGCCTTCAAATAGTTGTTATATATGTACAACCCCACTATAAAAACATATTTTGTAATGACTAGTTATTTTTATATATAAATAGTTGTATATACCTATACATATACATATTAGATATATATAAATATATAGTCATTCTAGTGAGTTGTGCTGTGTGGAAGCATTTGTCTGAGACAAGCTATTTTTACATTTTACCAAAACTAGAAATACTTAATCTACCACATATTTTAAGAAGTTAAAATTTAACTTTCTATATTTGCCTCAGTTAAAGATTGATATTGGCTAATATCTAAATTGTATATCAGAATATATGTTTTGGAATATTTCTTGATTATGTGCCAGTTCTTTACAATTTTTCTTTATTGAAACAATTTTAAAATGCATGACCCTACTTGGTGCCATTAGATTTTTTTTACTCATCATAAATGAAGTCAAATATAAAATATAGACACTTGCAGGGAAAACCTTACCTTTTATGTGCTTATTACAGGTTTAGCAAATATTTAGTTATCCCCTTTTACTTTAAGTATAACTTTGTCCTTCACATATATAACATAATAATTTTAAAGAGGATACTTTTCTTCATCAGCTAGGATATTATCAGTTATTTTCTTGAGTCATCCTTTTCTCAGTGTTCAAAAATTGGCCTGTCTAAATCCTTATATTTCTTGTTTATACAGCAGCATCAATTTATAGTCTCAGATTATATCAAAAGGGAATGTATTCAGCTTCTCCATTTAATTTTTGATACCTCATTTTATCTGATGTACTTGAACTATATTGGGAATTGGCTCAGATTAAATCTGTCTATCTCTCATCTTAAGTGGGATCTCTTTCGTGTATTGGTTAACATAATAAAGATAGTCATTTCCCAGTAGTTTTGCTTCATACAGTCTGTATGTTTCCTATTATTCCTTCAACTCAGCTTTTTCCAAAGACTTAGCTTATCTTCCATAGGCCAAAGGCAGATGGCAGCCTCTTTCTCAATTTTACATATCATCTCCCATGTTGTATGACCACATACAGATGGATTCTTTAACATTTCTTTGACAAAATGTCTGCATTTCTATGATGATTTTTTCTACAAGATGTTTATGAGGAATTTTAAAATACATGACCCTACAAACCGCTTTGTACTTTATATGAAGTTGAAAAATTGGATATAATAGCAACAACAAACAACAGTAATATCAGGTAACATATATCTGTTATTATTTGATAAGCCTGACAGTTTATAAGTGGTTTATAAGTGGTTATTAGGGTTACATGGTATGAACTGAAGGACGGAGTTCTTTCTTATTAGCAAGTGGTTCAGGATGAAATATGAGAACTTCCATGGACTTGTTGGCACTATATTGTAACCCAGGGTCCTCAAGCCTTTTTTTCATTGTGATCCATAGGACAGGAAGCGTTCCCATGTAAGACATGCTTTCACATGGTGTTCCTCTCTTTGTATTGACTATAATTCTAATCCTTTTCTTGTAAGAATTCCTGTCATAATCTGGTTAGCATCAATTACCTATACTTTATACAAAATTGTAATATTAATGTCAACCTCAATTAGCCTTCCCACTGATCTCAGCACAGAAGTTTGTATGTAATGTAACATCCTGATGCAGAACCACAACACTTAATTAAACGTATTATTTTATTGTTGGCAGTTTATCCCAGCAGCGGACCTTGAAAGCCCTGTCTTTGTCTTTCAGGATGCAGGCTGGCTGATAGGAGTGAAGGAATCAGACTGGCTCCAGTACAGAGACCTTGCCACATACAAAGGCCTCTTTCCAGAGAACTTCACCCAGCGCTTGGATTAGGGCCAAAAGTATTGTAGAAAGAGCCTGGTTACTGAGTTTTTAAATCTTCATGAAACCCTGAAGAGTTCACTTTGCTATTACACTCTTAATGATTTATAGACTGATGTCAGACAGTGCTTAGAAGGATATATCAATGGAGCATGTGTACAAAAAAAGTGTAAAAAAAAAAAAAGGGAGAAAGTCCTCACTGGTTCCCATGTTATTGAGAACAGGTTTGTTTGTGCTTTGTCCAAGCTGTAGATACTCTTGTACTTGACTCCCACCCGTCAATTCTAAAGTAGCTTTCTCCGGACCAGAACCTTAATTTCTCTATGGTATTGAGTGGCTGCCCTGCAAGAGAGATGATGAATTATCCAGTAGTACAAGATTATCTTATTCCCTAGCACAGGTGTGAGCACGTGCACACTCTCTCTCCCTTTCAGGTTTACTGTGTTTAAAACTAAACTGCTGCAAAAATTTTCAATGTTCTTTTCCAACACATCTCTCTCTTTCTTGCAGAACTAGCTCGTGTGACTATGTGCCTGTAGAGATAGTCACACAAGCTAGTTCTATCACTCCTAGATCTACGTGTATGCACAAAATGACATATACATAGTTACTTTCTTTCCTTTGTAGCTCTTTGCTTCTCAAGTGTCATTGATACATGCATTGCTCTTATTCTGTCTGGCATTACAGTTGTAGTTTTGCTTGAGAGCAAAACCAGACATCTCATTGCCAAAAGAGTTGACAGTATCTGTGTTCGTAACGTGCATTTTTCAGGGTGCGATGACAAATAGCATGTCAGAGCTGCTGCCCCTTTGGAGAAAGTAGCCTGCTTCTCTAGGGCAGCTGTGGCTGGAGACAAGCTAGCTGGGATGAGCAGCTAACTTCTTAATTTCTGCCTTTCAGAGATTTACTAGATGATGGGGCATATAAACTCATTCCAAAAGAACACTTAAAACAGCTCCTCTATATTTCCACCTTCTTATATTTATGCAACTCATCTTCATGGATTGTCCTAAAATAAGATAGGTGATGTATGCTGTATCCACAGATCATCTGTAACGATGTTTCCAGTGCTGTGTCATTCCAAATAAACCTTTGGTCAGCTCCAGCCATCATCCCAGTTCCTTCTGATGAGTCATTTGTTTTGGAAAGCTTGTCTCAGGTGGATGCACTACTTGAAACAGTTGATGTTGCAGTTGTTATTTGTGCAGAAATCTGCTTGTTCCTCTGGGTTGTGCTCCACAGTGCCCCTCTCTTGCCCCAGCCCCTCCATTCCAATCATTGCTGGTCACTCGGTGGTCCCTGCTGCCCAGCAATCACTATAGCACAAATAACAACTGGGAGGCTGTGGCCCCCAGTCTGTCTATCATAGAAAATCTGACGACCTTCATAATCAGCAATTTCTTCTCACACCAGCCTCATATTTTGGTCACTTTTCTTTCTGACATGTTTATGTTTGTAGGTACAGAAAAAGAAAAATAGATGAGATGAAATAGAAAAGTCAGTTCACTGGATCATTGTTTATGGAAGAGAATTCTTAAAACAAAAATCTTTCATTTGGTTTAGACTCTTTTCTGCCAATATAATTCTGTGTACACAGTGGAATGCGCATTATTAATTTTTTAAATTTTGGTATGTATTTCTGATGCATGGTTTAACTTCTAGTGGATTACTGATTTTGATATTTCAGTGTTAATAGGGAAATACCTATTATTGACCCAAGGTATTTCCAGGAGCTAATTTTCAGGGAAGTTGGATCATCATGAATGCTAGTCTAGTGCCAGAAAATAACATGCACTGCCCAGTGGCATAACTAATAATTCAGCAAATAACGTGCAGCATTGTATTTATAGTAGAAAGCCATTTCTGACATTGAGAATATGTGTGAGAGGTTGAAAGCTAAGACTGACAAAGTAGTTCTTATTATAAAATACACCTAATGTTCTACAAAGATAATTGTCGTGTCTCCTGGAGCAGCTCATCTGAAATTTGACTCACATTCCTCCCCACAGCAGCTCTCAACATGTACAGTTTTCCAGGACATAGCTTGTTAGATAAGTTTAGCCTACACCTGCAACATTCCTAGATGAATTCAATAAGTTCTTCCAAAATGGTATATTTTCAATTAGCTATTTTGTCCTGGTGTATAACCTTTAAAAAAATTTAACACCAAATAAAAGTAGTCAGATTACTTGTTTCAGGAATTTTCAAGATCCTAGATTTTCCAAAGCAGTGAAAATTAAAGGGATGAGGGGTTAGAAGATGAGATAGTGGTATTCTCCAGAAATATCCGTAGATATGGAGTGAACATTCATTTCCATTTCAGTGGATTTTCTAAGGGACATGTGAATAGTTTCAAGGACTTCCTCTGGTTACTAGTTTGGAAGTTCCTTCCACTTTCCTTTTTTAGTTAGTCTAATTCAAGTTCTCAGGCCACCAAACCACAGTAAGCACATCACCTGGTCATTTATTGTCGAGTTCGTAGCTATGCTTTATTCCAAAGGGCTTTGACCTAGGAAGCCCTATATGAGCCTCTTATATTTTACAAACCCAGTGGCACTCATACCTTCAAATAGTTTAAAGGACCTCCAAAGAATCAGATAAAGAAAGCCTGTGGTTTTAATTAAACATAAACCTTCTGGCATTCCTACCAATATCACATGTAGACATGCATTTAAACCTGAGTGATGTATATAATTGCAAAGCAAAGCCCTCTGACGGTTTGAATTTTTAACACTATCTCAGCATAGACAGGGCCCTGGGAAGAGTTCCATGCACCATGTGGTCACATTGCTTCCACTGTGGTCTGCTCTTTGTGACAAAGCTGGCACAGCTTTTGAGTGAACCAGAACACCACATCCATCCTGTCTTGGGTTGCCAGGGAGAGTGTGCAGGTTCAGAATTTGGAGCCCTTTGAAGAGGCCTATAATCAAGCTATTAGAAAAATTCCAGCATGACCCCATGGCCCATTCTGATGGCCCATTAAAGAAAAGGCCTTTGGGAAACTGCTGAAGTTATGATAAATCAATGAGGTTAAAGATGACTGGAGCTCAGTGCTTTATGCTGCACAAATTGCATGGCCAAACACCTCGAAACCTTAGAAACAGACTGATTTGTCTTCCTAGGACTCTGCTATTTTCAAAGGAGCCCAAGCTGCCTTCTGGTTTTTACTTGAAACCCAACAAAAATCTTACAAACATTCTGTACCAACCCTTAGAGATGAGCCAATTACACAGTTTTCCTTACATGATGGTATAGCTCCTGCCTTCCCAGCGTGATGCAGACTCTTCCTGGGACTCAAAGCAATTATAGCAGACATTTGGTAGCTGCATGGAGAAGATAATAACCAATATTCTCTTAGCAGATTTAGAGAATTGAGAGCCAAGTGGTTCTAGTCATCCTTGACCACTGCCTGTCTCAGACCTTCTTGATAATTATTTCATCATGCAGCACCAGGCTGAGTGAGCCCTGGCTGTTCACGGGCAACACTCCTCAAGGTACACAGCGAGAGTGCGATAAACTGTTCACAAATACTAGAAAAAAATAATGCTGGCATAAGCTTAATAGTCCATCCAGATAGCTTGTGATCCATTATCCATCCTTTTTAAAAATTACTTAGTGGCAGCACATGTTGATGTTTTTAGTTTAAAAGTGAATCAAAACTACTCTGAAATCTGTGCAAATGGAATCTTGAAGTATTTTTTTAAAAGATATCTAAAATTTTTCTTGGTTTCGAAAATCCAGTTAATTCCCAGTCTCCTAAGATCTCAGGTCCAACACTCAGGCTGTATTATTCCTCTAGTCTGGGTCAGAGCTGTGTGGTTATTGAGCCTCCCCAGCTCCCACCGTGGCGGATCTGCTGCTAACTCTAGACAACCACTTCCTGATGTATTGTAATGCCACAGAAAAACCTGTGCAGTGCAGGAACTCCTTGTCTATAGGACACTGCCACGTGGCTGATGCCCTTATACACTTTCCCTGTCAGTAAATACCATTAAATGACGTCTTTGTGCTCTGTTCTCCAAAAACCTAACAGTGACCACTAAGTGATTTCTGTGACATTTGATGATGCCACCAAACTTCTCCAAATTCTAATATTCCAAGATATTAATTTTCCTTGTTTTCCTACCTCTCTGATTGTTCTTTCAATGTCACCTTTACTAATTTTTCTCGTTTCTTCCAGCGGATGCTGGAGTGGGGTGTGAAGCAGGACAGTATCAATCTCCATCCCTCAATTTGTATACTAGATGACCAGAAATATTTCCTTTGGAATATCTGATTATTGCACCAAGTCCACATGCTGATTTATTCATTAAATATTTGCCAAGCTCTTGCTAAGCATCAGTTACTATGCACTGGGACTACATTTACTAAGACTATACTCATGGAACTTCTCTCAACACCTCACCGCAGCATACCACAGAGGATTCCTCCATCTTCAGAACCTTAGGCTTGAGACTTGGGAGCCTGCTCTGTGCTTCCTTTTCCAGATTACAAACACTTGCTTCAGTCTTTTCCCTCACAACATCATGAGACCCTGCACTTTAATCCCTGCTACCTGACTTAGGAGTGGATGGCACCCTGCCAAGGAAGACCATTTGATTCTTCTTGCCTCCCTGATCTCCCTACTTCCCTTCATCCCAGCTTGCCTGCACTCCTCAAACCATTTTACATCCACTGATGTCAAAATCTCATCATCCTCTCTTTGTCTACCCCATGCACCCCTCTGTCTCACACACACACTGACGATGAGTATCTATTGTATGTCATATCAAATCTCCATGCCTCTGTTTGGCTTTCAAAATCCTCCATGTCTTTACTAATACTTGTCTTCTGCTTCCTTCAGACAAGTCTCCTCACTCGCCCTCCCACTGCACCTCTACATTCTGCTTACCAGGTTACAACCTCCCTCTCCTGCCCTCCCCTCATCTATTTGCCCCTGAAACTCCTTCTTCCCAAGACATAGCTCAGGTCTCACTTCCTCAACAAAGCCTTCTCCATCAGTCCATTCCTCT